TACATACATACATACATACATACATACATACATACATACATACATACCACACACACACGCGCACGCATGCAAGTCGTGCAAGGCCTTTCCGCGCAAGATCTTGACAGAGGGTTGAGGTCTGCTGGGTATAGAATAGCTAAAATATGTGTTAGTTCATAATCTTGGCAATTCTAAGGTCACCTGTGATGGTGTGCCCCCAGAGCCGAGAATCTTAGCTTTCGCTGTTGTGCAGCTGGGCGCCGGGTGTTGAGCAAACCACAGCTGTACCGGGAGTTGGTTGCTTGATTCGTTGGTTGGTCGGTTGGTGAGACACAGAGCATACTCAGTCAGGCATTGTCTTAACGTTTTGTGGCTTCAATTTTTCGTTCAGGTTTTGTGATTGGAACAGCCGGCGTTCTGCGCCAAGGTTTGAGAGCCGCCCCCCAAAGATCACGAAGAAAAGTGCAGACCCCAGTCACCTGACAGACCTGATGTTGTAACATATCAGATTTCAGACGTCGTGGTTTTCATAGTGGAAGGAATGAATAGTAGAATGCAAAAATTTTCAGTGAAAATCAATCATCTATCAAACCCCATAATGTTTGAAGGGCCCAGGATCGTTTCAGAACCCCTCCCTGCAAACCTGTTCGGGAAATAATCTGAAATACTTGCAGTGGAACGAGAAGAAAGACAATCGACGGGTTCTGGGTGTTGCTGCTTGAAGGCCAAGCGCCTCCTGGGTTGGTAGTCGGCAGCCAGCGCCCCAGCTCGCAGGACGCCGCGTATGTTCGTATGTCCTAGGACGTGGGATGGGACGCCTGCTCCATCTACCTTTGCCATGTACCTAAGTCACAAAAGGTGCCTAGCCGATAGCGGCCGACAAACTCTTTGATATGTTCCAAGGCTAGACTCAACGCAAGATTTCGTCAAGCGCTCGCGTGGGGACACGCAAAGTCCTGGTTGCGGGGTGGACACGGGGTCACTCACTTCGGGCTTGATTCATGATGTGGGGACGGGCAGGGAAAAAACAGGAAAGAAAACAGGAAAGATCGCTTGATTGAGGCTGGATCAGCTTTGACCTTGTGGATGAGTGGCCTGGTGCTCCTTGCGTGTAAAGACGGTGTGTCCTGGACGAGGGAAGTGAAGGCTTTTCAAGGGATGCGTTCTGGTGTCGCCAAAATCTCCTCAGCGCGAACTTCTGCTGATTGCGCGGCCCACGCAGCGCAATATCTTTGAGACTCATGCCGTGCCAGGTGAGAACTGGGGGTCTCCTTTGGCGGTAAACATCGAAGCTGAAGACACGCCAGAAGGTTTCACGCTCCCAGTCAAGGCAGTCAAGGCGGGAGGTGTGAGTGGCGCTGAGGGTGTGGGTGTTCGTTGTGGTGACCCAAAACTAACAGGGAAGACCCAGCGCAGGTCAGGCGTCATTTAAGCCAAGCACCCAGCTGCGCCTGCAAGGCGCCCAATGGCGCTGGCCCGCGAAGCTCTATGGCAGCAGCAGCAGAAAAGTTGCGAGCAGCTGCTGCGAGACAAAGGACATCCTTCAGAGTCGTCGTTGTTTTCGCGGTTGTCATTTTTGGTTGTTGCTGTTAGAGTAGTTGTCATTGTAACAACAACAACCTGGAGTAGTATAGGTAGGTAGGTAGGTAGGCAGGCAGGCAGGCAGGTTAGGTAGGTAGGTAGGTAGGGAGGTAGGTAGGTAGGTAGGTTAGGTAGGTAGGTAGGTAGGTGGGTGGGTGGGTGGGTGGTAGGTAGTAGTAGGTAGGTAGTAAGGTAGGTAGGTAGGTAGGTAGGTAGGTAGGTAGGTAGTAGGTAGTAGTAGTAAGGTAGTGGTAGTAAGGTAGTAGTAGTAAGGTAGTAGTAGTAGTAGTAAGGTAGTAGTAGTAAGGTAGTAGTAGTAAGGTAGTAGTAGTAACGTAGTAGTAGTAAGGTAGTAGTAGTATGGTAGTAGTAGTAAGGTAGTAGTAATAAGGTAGTAGTAGTAAGGTAGTAGTAGTAAGGTAGTAGTAGTGAGGTGGTAGTAAGGTAGTAGTAGTAAGGTAGTAGTAGTAGTCGTCGTCGTCGTCGTCGTCGTCGTGGTAGTAGTAGTAGTAGTAAGGTAGTAGTAAGGTAGTAGTAAGGTAGTAGTAAGGTA